GTCTCACATACTTTGGACATGTTATCAGGAGGGACCAGTCCCTGGAGAAGGACATCATGCTTGGTAAAGTACAGGGTCAGCAAAAAAGAGGAAGACCCTCAACAAGGTGGATTGACACAGTGGCTGCAACAATGGGCTCAAGCATAACAACAATTTTGAGGATGCCGTAGGACTGGGCAGTGTTTCTGTTGTATGCGGGGTCGCTATGAGTCAGAACCAACTTGACAGCAGCTAACAACAACACCACAACCCATAACTAGCTGTATAGAGGATATGATGCAACTCAGCAAACATCAACGTCCTTGCCTTCAAAGACTTGACATCTAGCATGGGAAAAGACCTATGAGTAACCTATGGGAGAAGAACAACATTCGGTTAAGAGCCAGGTGAAGTGTAGCCTTCCAAATCTGGTGTTCATGAAGAGACAGACATGTACAATGGAATTTTAAGGATTGACTTAGAAGTATAAAGATGGCAATACTCCCCAAATTAATTTACTGATAAAATGAAATCCCACTTAAAACATTAGTTGATCTTTTTTTTTTTTTTTTTTTTTTGAACTCAGTAAACTTTCTCTAAAATCTACATGGAAAAATAACGGTCCAGAAATAACTAAGTCAACCTTGAAAAATCAGTTGCCTGGTTTCCATCCCACCCCCCGCCCTTACCAGATGTCTGACATTGTAACATTGGGCAAGTTATTTCACCTCCGAATACCTCAGTTTCTCTGTCTGTAAAATGAAGATTTAAGGGTCTTTTTTTCTTACAAGGTTGTTCTGAATAATAAATAAGATAATACATATACTTCGGTTATTGGCGTCTTTGAAGCTCTAACTTCCTGTCATCAGGTGGTTAGAGCTGCTACTAGGTGTGGGAGCCCAGGAGTCCATTTATTTTCCTTGTGTGGATTCAGCTCAGGTGTCCAGGTCGTCAGTCACCGAGTGTGTGGTGCAGGCTCTCTCACCTACAGTCCTAGACAGGCAGGGCTATGCAGGGGTGGTTGGAGCAGGCACAGGTATCTGTGCTGAGCAAGGTAAGGGACTGAGGGCTGCCCCTGAGTGTCTAGGTGGAAGGCGTGTCCCTGTCCCCTAGAGTGTATAGGTGGGTGGGTTTTGCAGCCGGACTTTGGGCACCCAATGCTGCTGGCTGTAAGGACTAGGAGGCACTGTTTATTCTCAGACCTCTGTCGTGGGTGATTAGGTGGAATGGTTGAAGTCACCAGTCCTCAGGCCCCTGATGTGGGTGGGTGAGGACCCTGTTTAATGGGCAGGGCGGTGTCAAATGTTGCAAATCTGCCACCCCCTCCCTTGGCTGTTGCAGTTGAAAATAGGCTTCAGGTATATACCCTGTTGTTCTATGCTAGTGAGGGCCTATGCTGTTAAATGGATCCATGCAGGTCTAGGCAGGGGTGAAAGGCATTCGAAGTCCATGGACCCCTTATGCTTGTGCCTAGGCAAAGGAGCAGAGCCAGCCCTGAGTTCCTGGCTTACAAGGCATACATAGCAATTTTTTAAAGCCAAGAGACTGGTTTGGGCACCATTAGTCCTGAGTGCCCAGCTTAGGGGAGTTAGCAATTTTGTTGTTTGTTTTTTCCCTAAAAGCCAGGAGACTGGTTTGGGTGCGATAGGTCCTATTTCTGGCTTAGGGGCCGTGGCAATTGTTGAATACTACCGGACTGATATCGGAGAGGAGCGGGGAGGGGGTAGGTGAGGGGAAAAGAGGCACTTCTCTGCTACAGAAGTCCCAGAGGGGGAAGGGTTATTTTGATGCCAAGAGGTAGGTTAGAGGTTTGCAAGATAATACATACAGATAAGATAAGAATGAGATAATACATTAAAACAGTGGCTGGCACATTGTGATCTATGAACGTGGACTGTTAGGAAACAAGTCAGGGAGAGGAAGCAATCAAAGAGGGAGACGTGGGCTCTGGCTCTGCAGGGTTTGCAGTAGTTCTCACAAGTAGAGGGCATAACCAAAGGACCGGCAGCGGTCACTAGGCAGAGCTGAAGGAAGGGATTCTGGGAGGAAGGGAAGGGAAAAGTAAAGGCACTGAGGTTGGAAGGTGGGGGATGGGGCTTGGGCTAAAAGACCATGTTGGCAAAGGGGAGGCAAGGCCGTTCAGGGATGTGTGCAGAGACGCTTCTGGGCACAGAGGAAGGAGGTTCAAGAACACCTCCTCCGTGTTGTCACTTTGCCCTTTCCATGGACTTCAGCCACAAAGCTGAAGTCACATGTCCCTCACAGGACCACGGTCAGGGTCAGGCATGGCTCCGTGAAGGAGCTCCCTTCCCACCCACCCTCTGGCCTTCTCCAGAATAGACCTCCTCCTAGCGCTTGGCCACTCCCAGCACACAGCACCTCCACCCCGCAGCCTGGTTACTGGCGGGAGGCTTTTCACCGGGGCTGCGCCTGGTGGGCTGTTTTCCCAGAGCAAGGAGCAGAGCAGGGCTGAGTTCGGGCCAGCTTCCTCTGTTATAGACATTGCTGGCTGAATGACCAGCCTGGCCCAGCTAGCTTGAGCCCAAGTGCTCCCTCAGGTACAGGGTTCCTAGTCCGTGGCTGCAGCACCATACCCCAGAGGTGTGGCATGTCACAGAGGGAGGCCAGAAGGACACCAGCAATGCCAGGAGTGGGGCATAGTCGGGCTAAGGCCAAACCTCAGGTGCTGCCAGGCATTGGCAGGAAGAGGAGCCGCCTGAGCAGAACAAGGCAGGAGGACCTGTGGGAAGAGACAAGCTGGAGCAACCAAAGGTGGAGCAGAGCTGCCCCTAGCCCTCGAGGGGCCAGGGCTAAAAGCCTGACTTGTGGCAGGGTGAGGAAATGCTGGACTTGGGGAGGGCACTGGGGAAGGAGGGTGAGATGTTACCACAGATGGCAAAGCCTCACTCGGTGTTACCATTCTCACCCAAGAGAGGAGACACTGGCCCCTTGGGCTCCATTCTTGGAGTGGTTGGCCTAAATCAGAGCTGGTTTTAACCAGAGTGCAGAGTTCTGCTCTCTTGATGAGGAAACTGAGGCCCAGAGGGGTGATGTGATTTTCCCAAGGTCCCACAGCAGTAGTCATTGTCAGGGCCGGGACTTGGGCCTGCATGTTTTAACCCCTAGCATACGTAGTATCCTTTCCTCTAACACTGCTGTCTCTTCATTTCGGGGACTTCGTTGGGTCAAAGGTCAACCTGACAGCTCAGGGCGCAGCTCTGTGCTCTGCTGGGCACCTGGATGAGCAGGATTCAGACTTAGATGTCTGGTGGAGCAAGGCTATGGGGAGGCATAGTGGAGTGTTAGAAAAAAGGCATCCTGTTTCCATCTGACCAGAGGCAAGGCGCTTCTCGGCTGTAAAATGGGGAAGGGCTGAGAGTGGGACAAAGAGGAGCTGAGGGCCTTTGGTCTGTGCTGCTTGGCGTTCTACAGCCCTGGCAGGAGACCTCACACAGAATGCTCTTAGAAATCAGGGCAGATGGTAGTCCAGCTCAGACCCACTCACCGGAGTCCTCTGTGCAGGGTGAGGCCAGTCCTGAGAATGCTGCGCGGGAGCGGAGCCGGGTGAGGACACTACGCCAGGCCTTCCTGGACCTGCAGGCCACTCTGCCTGCCGTGCCACCTGACACCAAGCTCTCCAAGCTGGATGTGCTGGTATTGGCCACCAGCTACATAGCCCACCTCACCCACACTCTCGGCCACGAGTTGCCTGGCCCCGCCTGGCCACCCTTCCTGTGTGGACTCCGCTGCTTTCACCCTCTCAAGGTAGGCCATGGCCTGGGGACTTGGAGTGGGGGGATCTTAATGTTGAGGGCCTTGGGGAAGGGGCCTTGGGATGGAAGGATACTGGACCTGGGCTTCCTGCCCTGAGCAGAGCTGACATTGGAGCCAGCTGCTTCCTGCTCTCTCAGAGGGCGAGGAACCCGGTGGGCTGCTGGAGCTGGGCTGGCCCTCTGTTTCTCATGGGGTGGAGGTGGGGTGGCTGGAAATGGCTTCCTGGGAATGTTGTCCCTCCGAGAGGAGGTGAATTCTTGGAGGCCCCAGGACTCTGGGCTCTGGTGTGGGAGGAAAAAAGGAGCAGGTTCCAAGGCTGGCAACTAGGAAGGGAAACTGAACATCTATAAGAGACCTAGAATTCTGGGGCAGCTTCACCCATCACACAGTGCCGTGGGGCCCTCTGGACTTCCATCACAGGAGAGTTCCACCTTCTGGGAGAACAAGAGTCTAAGAAAGCATTCTAGAAGCAACCAAGCTTAAGGGGCAACATTGGTGGGGAGTGGGAGTGGTGGTGAGGGGCACACTCCCAACTCCACTCTTTCTAGTCCTTCATGCACCCACAGTCTAGTCCCACAAACTGTGACCTAACTTTCCTGAAGCTTGGTTTTATTGTATGTAAAATGGGAGATGATAACATGAGGCTTACTTCTCTTCCAGAGTATGAAATGAGACCATGAATGAAAGGTATAATTAACAATAATCACCATCGCTGATTATAACTGACATTAATTGGATGTTAAGGATATGTCAGGAGCCCTGGTGGCACAGTGGTTAAGAGCTCAGCTGCTAACAAAAAGGTTGGCAGTTCGAATCCACCAGTTGCTCTTTGGAAATCCTATGGGACAGTTTACTCTGTCTTATGGGGTCGCTATGAGTCAGAATTGACTCGACAGCAACAGGTTTGGGTTTTTTTTTTTGGTTTTAAGATACCAAGATCTATGCTATGTGCTTTAGTGTACTTTTCTCTTCTAATCCTCACAAAAGCTGAATGAGGACCACTTTACAGATGAAGAAACTGAGGCTTAGGGAGATTGACTGAATGTGGTTTGAACCCAGGGATGTCTGACTTCAGACCCCACGCTCACAGCCACTAAGCAGGGTTGGGAGATGGCACGGTAAGGAGCTGCTTGAGGAGAATTACTGTGTAATAAAGGGCCATCTTTGCCCTCTGATAATATTGTAATGGATTTAAGTTTATTTGTATGGAGGATACTTTTCACCACCCTTCTCCCTAGATATTATAGTTCTAAAATGTCTTGAAACTTGAGATTTTTTTCTCTTCCATGCAAATATAGCTAAAATGCAAGAGTTTGAGACTAAATGGGGGCAATTCTGAAATGCCGATTGTGTGCATGGTACAGTGGCCCTGGGCTGGGCAGAGTAGTTTCCTTAGCTGAAAAACAGCAACCAAGGAAGGTGTCAATCAATATGTTGAAGAATGGACAAATGAGGGGCCAGAAGAGGTCTAGAACTCTGCAGACTGGTGGGTGGGATAGTAGGCCAGGGAGTAGTGCCCCCTGGGCCCCCACGTGGAGCACTGCCAGAGAGGAGGGCAGACCTCAGGGCAGAGCCAACCTGGTGTTTCTGGGACTGCCCACGTTCTGGGACTGCTGTAAGGATGGGCAATTCTTGGAGGACCCGGCTCAGGCGGAATAGGCAGCACTGACACAGATGTGGGCCAGAGACACTTGGGACTTGGCAGTGATCAAGAGAGAGGGTCAGGGTCACTCAGTGTCAGGGGAGCCTCTCCTTTCCGAGCTCCACTGCTCTCCCCATTGCCCAGCCCCTGGCTGTTTGCCACTCTGCCCAGGCCACCTGAACTCCTGTCACCTCCCGCTATGTGGGAGCTCCTCTTGGGGCCCTCATCCCCTGAGACAGCTCCTCCTAGGCCTTATAGCCAAGCTCAGGGTGGTCAGGAGAACGTGTGGGGTATGAGCCACAGAGCACTGATACAGAACCGTGGTGACCAGGGGCTGGCACAAGGAGAGATGCTGGGGAAGGCTGAGTTTTGGTGTCAAGGTTGTGGATGACAAGAGGCTGCAATAGTAAGCATGTCTTATTTCCCATCCCTGTGTCTTACAGAAATGGCCGATGCGCTTTCGTCTCTATGCTGGAGGCCTGGGGTGCTCTGGCCTCGACTCCACCACAGCTACCACCTTGGGCCAAAGAAAAAGGGATGCAAAGGTGGAGCCCCAGGTCTCTGGAGAGGCAGATGCTCTGCCTCCCACCAGGCCACTGTCTCCAGCTCTTGGTGACAAATAATCAACACACTCGCCCTTCTCTCCCAGACTGTGACTCAAACTTAGGGACCCGGATTTTCTACCAGGCCGTACCTGTCTGCACTCTGACTCTCAGCCACTGGATCTGACTGGGGCGTGGCTCCGAAGTTCCAACACATGGTCCAGGGAGGCAGTGGGTGCTGGGAGCAGGTGGGGCGTCATCTGCCATTGAGAGTACTCGGAGAAGCACTGGGGTGGACATACATGCCCCTGTGGCTCTTCTGTGGCATCTACAAGGGAGTGAGGGAGAGAAGGGTTTGAATTGGTTCGAAGCTGAGTTAGGCACCACCCCCTCGCTTGTCTCCACTGAGCTCTGGAGAAAGCAGGAAGACAGAGCTGCTGCACAAATGTGGAGGTGGGCGCCTAGGATGGCAGCAGCTCAGGGTGCTGACAAGAAAGCCAGGGGCCAGACAAGCTCTTGGCAGCTGGAAGTCCGAACAGAGCTGGGCTTGGGCCACACAGCCAGAGGGGAAACTGAACAAGGAATTACTCTCTCTTATCTCTTAGAGCTGCTTAACCAAAACCAAACCTGTTGCCACTGAGTCGATTCTGACTTAGAGCGACTCTATAGGACAGAGTAGAACTGTCCCATAGGGTTTCCAAGGAGCGGCTGGTGGATTCCAGCTGGCAACCTTTTGGTTAGCAGCTGAGCTCTTACTCAAGGCCAAAGAGGCAGCCAGGCATCCAGGATTCTTGTCTCTGTCTTATGGGTTTCTCCAGCTGCCCCTCATCACTACGTTTCCTCCACCCCGGGCCCTGTGCCCTTCCACCCTTCTCTTGACATGAGTTATATTTTCAGATTCAGCCATAAAGCTTGCATTGCTTACATTCCAGTTTCTAGAGAAAATTTTAGATAGTCCCAGCTACCTCCTTTGAGAAGATCTGATCCCAGAGGCAGCTCTACCTTAACTGCACCAAACAGCAGCTTAAGGCCTTGCATATGAAGGATACTGAAAGCTTCCATCACATCCTCAAAGGACCTTAAAAGGAGAGTGTGTATCTTTTTCTAGGGGATGATAATTACAGTCTTCTTTTTCTATTGTGTTAGAAACCTAACCTTAAGGGAAAACAAATAGGCCTGACTTCAGTGGGTTCCTTGTATGATTTTTGCCTAAGGCTTCACTGACTCTGGAGTTAGTTCTAGAATCTACCTACAAATTAACTCCCTAGGACCAGCTTCTCCCCATAGGCACTGTACCCCAGCTTCTCCCTCAGTCTTGCCCCAGCTTGCCAGCAATCTGATAAAGCTTTCGTGGAACTATCTCTGGCCCTGAAGAAATCATTTGAGGACAAATCACAGAGCCTACACACTCTGAAAGTAACTTTCCAGGCCAGGTATAGCGTCACACCCGGTACCTGAACTTCAGACCGGGAAAAACCAGTACAAGTTGCCGTCCAGTCAATTCTGACTCATAGTGACCCCGTGTGTGTCAGAGTAGGACTGTGTTACATAGGGTTTTCAAATGGCTTATTTTTTGAAAGTAGATTTCCAGGCCTTTCTTCTGAGATCCCTCTGAGTGGACTCAAACCACCAGACTTTCAGTTAGCAGCTGAGCACTTCAACCATTTACACTACCCAGGGACTCCCCAGACTGGGAAGGAACTGCCTTTTTGTTAAACTTCAGTACCTCAGAGAGGATGGGGATCAGCAAGACAGACTAGAATCCCAACAGGGACATGTTCAGACAGAAGCCACTGTCAGGAGTTCATCAGGAGGTCATGAGCATAGAGGAAGTTCTGGGCAGGCTTGGCGTGGCTGGGGGGTCTGGGTTCTGGCATGATGAGCTGCTGTTCCACCACAGGGCTGGCCAGGGCAGCAGGAGAAATGGGGCTGAGGGGGTGACTCAGCTAGTTGGTGTGGAGATAGAAAAAGAGAAACAAAATGTCCCAGGCCCATGCTGCACGGGATGTGGGAGGGCAGCTGGACTGTGGCTGGGAGCCATGAGAAGGCCTCCGCCAGGACCGAACCCATAAATCTGCCTGGGACCAAGCATCAGCTAAGGCCCCCTGGAGAGTTTGTCCAGAGCTGCTTCTGGGCAACTAGAGAATCTGAGCACAGTGTTCCTCACAAGACCATAAAAGTCCAGCTCAGATGTTCTATTTTGAAAGCCTGATAGTCTTCCTGGTTGGGTTCAACGGTAGGAGGAAGAAGGAGCAGATGAATTTCTTCCTGAGTTGGTGGCACCCGATCTTTTACTGGGGTTGAAGGGAAAACTGTGTGTCGGGGGTGGAGGTGGGGGCTTCCCAATAGTATAGGGCTGCTCCTGATAGCTGAGTAGACTTTGGCTTGGAGCTTGCCCTGCCATGCCCAGCTCAGACTCAAGCCTTTGCTGAGTCATATCAGATCACTTGGGGGTGACCACATTACCCTGGTAGAGAAAACAAGCAGGGCAAAATAAAGATAAAGCTGGTGAGGGGGCTGGGGAAGGGCAAGTTCCCATCATACAAATTTTTAAGGCAGCTTTGGGCTCTTTCCAGGCAGAGCTGGTTTCTTTGGTGCCCAGGATAGTCCCGCGGGGTCCAGAGACCATCTCCTCCAGCCTGAGAGCAGCAAGCACAGTCAGGCCAAGGAATAAAGGGCTGCCACTAGGCAGCCGGAGCCAATGGAAGAGGGTGACCGGCAATAACCAGAGGAGGGACTGGGCCCCTCTCTCCTTGATACGCGTAAGGCTGCCCTTGAAGAAATGTCAGCACAGAAACTTGGATCCACAAACGAACCAGAATCAGGAGTAACCCTCTTTGTCTCCATAGCCGAGGAAGGAAAACATCTGTTCACTGGAATCCAGAGACTTCTTATTCCAACCAAGGGGGAGAGGGGAGTGTGGTGAACAGGAACAGTTAGAGTCACTAGGGATAGCCAAGATTTGGGTCTAATGACAGCTTTTATTCCCTAGGAACCAGGATATGTAGGAAAGAAGCCCCCAAAGGAAACAGGAGCACAGAGGACAACATGACATTTAGGTGGCATGCAATGTTGTGTAACAGTCACCACTGTCTATTTTCAGAACATTTCATCATCCCAAACAGACAGTGGCCATTAGGCAATAACTCCCCATTTTCCCCTCCCCCAGCCCCGGTAACCACTATTCTTCTTTCTCTATGAGTCTGCCTATTCTAAGTATCTCATACACGTGGAATTATACAATTTTTGTGTTTTTGTAACTGCCATCTTTCACTTAGCATAATGTTTTCAAGGTTATCATGTTGTATCATGTATCAGTAGTTCATATTCCATTGCATGGAAATTCCACATTTTGTTTATCTATTCATCTGTTAATGGACATTTGAGTTGTTTCCACCGTTTGGCTATTGTAAATAATGCTGCTATGACAAAGAAATGCTAATGCAGGCAGTCCCCAGATTACGAACAAGTTCCGTTCCTAAATTTGTCCTTCAGTCGAATTTGTACATAAGTGGCAACAGTTAGGTATGGTTTGTATCTACCGTTAATTAGTCAAATGTTTGTCTTAGTATACAGTGTATAGTGTACCTTTCTATGCATGAAAAACATTAAAGAAACACTTCCAGATACACTAAAACATCTTTAACATAATAATACAATAATAATAATAATGTTTTGATGCATGTATGCGTGTACGTCAAATTTTTAATATAATAGGCTTTAAGGGGTGGGGGGGGGGTTGGTACATAACTATGGGTTGTACATAAATCAACTGTTTGTAACCCAGGGACTGCCTGTAATCAAGGAAATGCAGATCAAATAAACAATGAAACGTGAAAAATTTAAAGTTTGACAATATCAAAAGTTGTGGGCTTGGAGAGAGCTTTTGGCAATGTGTAGCAAAATTTCAGCAATATGTAGCAAAATTGTACAGAGAACATGTACAATGGCAACAATGCTTGTCATACTGGAAAATTAGAAAACACCTAAGTAAGATAATGGTTAAACAAACCAGGTGTGTCCTAACTGTGGAATTTTTTGCAGTAGTTTAAAAGACTGCGGTAGATCCCTGTGTGCTAACGTGGATAGATGTCCAACATGCATTTTTGATTGGGTAAAAATATATAATGTCTGTGTCATGGATTGAATTGTGTCCCCCAAAAATATGTGTATTAATTTTATTCCTAGTATTGTGTGACTGTCCACCATTTTGTCATCTGATGTGATTTTCCTGTGTGTTGTAAATCCTGCCTCTGTGATGTTAATGAGGGGGCATAAGATTGGATTGTGTCTTGAGCCCATTTCTTTTGGGATATAAAAGAGAGATGTGAGCAGAGAGACACGAGGACTTCATACCACCAAGAAAGCACCTCCTGGAGTGGAGCACGTCCTTTGGACCCGGGGTTACTGCACAGAGAACCTCCTAGTCCAGGGGAAGATTGATGGAAAATAAACTTGTTTGTTAAAGCCATCCACTTTTGGTATTTTTGTTACAGCAGCACTAGATAACCAAGACAATATGTAAAATAAAAAATATATAAATCTTCTGTAGGGACTATATATACATAGATCAGTGGATAGCAAAAACTAATAGCAGTGGTTAGGTTGGGAAGGGAGAGGGTCTACCAGAAGGTTCTGGCACTGTTGGTGGTGGTCAAAGGAGATCTTGGCCTTATGTGTAATTTATATGTGATGTTTTTATCTTTTTCAAGGAGAATGAAATCATCTATTACTTGTGTAATTAAAAACTAGCTTAACAAAAGAGAGCCATTCCCTGCCACAGAGAGTGGCTGTCATCAGCGGATTTCCACCACCAGACTTGACCCCTGTTGATATCATGGGCATATTCTTTTGAGCTGTGGACACAGTACCATTAGTTGTAAGCCGCTGCTGCACACAGCACCAAGCTGACTTTACGTGATTAAAGCAGAATAGGGATTTGCTGAAAAGATACTGGGAGTTGGCGGAATCAACAGGAGTGCTGGAGACTCTCAGGAACCCGGCAGTACTCAAAAGGGTCAGGGACCGGCACTTCCCGAGTAGCTGCCGGGACCCGCCCAGGGAGGGCGCTGTCGTCTGTC